GGCAACCTGTGCCAGTGCTTGGTCACCCTCACAGTAAAAAATCTTCATGTTTCCATGAGCAACAGCAGTTTTACTTAAACATCCCATTATATATGGGATGGATCCTCAAATGCTGCTCCCCTGTAATGTCCAGCTGAAGTTTGTGTGCAGCTTTTTCAGTTCTATGTATAAAGAAGGAGTGTGACTTCAATGCAGAGTGCATTATTTGTTGTGGGCTATCCTGAAAGAGGGAGTTCTCTGGAGAAGATACTGTGGTTTAAGTCCATGTTTCCTTCACTCATCTGGTAAGAGACATTTGTGTGTCTCTTAATGGATCCATTCACAAACTTTCAGTGTGGATTTATGAGGGAATCAGTTTATGCAGAAAAAGTACTGAATTCCCAAAAGACCGGAAGTATGAATCTGGCTAACTTACACTCAGTAATTTTTGGTGATTGCTCCGTTGCTTTTATGCTCAGTAGAGTAAAATACTTCAGCTCAGAGACCTGCTTACCAAGAGAGCAGCAGAGCACAGTGGGAGCTTTCACTGTCCCCAGTGTGTGACAGTTCAGGGGGAACTTGACAAGGTACCTTTAAATCCCAGCCTGGAGCAGTTTGGGAAGCCTGAGTCTGTTCCTCCAGCAATTGTCATCAGCCTGGGCTTGGAGGCAAACAGTTGCTCTTTAACCTCTTAAACTAAACCAGCTCAATAATTGTGGTGTCCAGCTTGGCACTTTTAGTGGGAAATCCCACTAAAGTTTGCTCATTTGTCTACTATGGACTCCTAGACACAGATTGTTCTGAAATTGCATATAGTTGAGCCTCACACTGAAATCCTTGGCTAAGTACTTAATGTGAGGATGGGGTTATCTTTGTTATTTGTTTTCTGTTAACCTCTATGCCATCCAGGAAGAGCATGGTAGCAAGCCAGGTGTGTCTGTTAAATGGAGAATTGTTTTTTTCATCCTCCTCTGTTTCCTGCCTGAAGATGGCATTGGATTCCAATTTGATTGCTAGCAATTACACAGACTTCACTGAAGGCACACACATCTCTTCACTCAGACTGGTTTTATGAAAAACTTGCATTAAAACATAAACCCCCAAACCTTTTGTATAGGTCTCGGTGCAAGAGATTGGGGTGTGCTCTCACATTCCCTGTACAATGTATCCTCACCAATATTTTTGTTGTTAAATCACAGAAATTACTGTATG